GTAGTGAATTGTATAGCGCAAATTCCAGCTCAACTGCAAGCTCTTTGCGCTTTAACAATTTATATTAGTACCCCAGCAGATAGCATTCTGGAACCATCTCAATTTCCCGAGAAGCATACTGCAGTGTATTGATCGGAGGGGTGCCCCGTCCATCAACGAACTTTCACTCTCAGGTTTATACTACTATCGAACAACATTTATATAGCCCCTCCCTTGAATGAAAATTTTAAAAAATATTATAATGTTGTTCTCGATAACATGAGTATTTAATGTTTCCGATTCTTGGTAATGCTTCGGTTGGTAAGGAAGTTTCTAAGGCTCTCTACCAACTTTGTTTCTTAAATAACTATACTGTTTTGAAAGGGGCATTTTGCGTTTTTACGAGATTTGTACAGGGGTATTTATCTTTTTCGAGATAACAACAAAAAAACAACCTGATAACAGGTAAGTGTTTTACAGCGCTCACAACTGCATAAGGTCATATGAGCGCGCGGGACACACCACACATTTCCCGTTGGTAGGAAACTTTGAAATTTACCCGTGTGGCGGCCGAAGCCTACTCTTATCGATTTTAGACAACCAAGGGATCTTTAACGTGCACAAATTGTACTCGGGCCCTTCTAGATTTTTTGCCCTTTTCAGAGAAGGCTAGTTGTAGATCTTTCCTACAAGAAGATCAGGGATGTGACAGAAAGACAGCTGTAAGAATGAGCCAAGGAGTAGCAGTAGAAAGGCTGCAGAAGGAGTGAGGAGTCCAGAGGAGGGGACAAAGGAGGTGGGAGGGTGGGGACTGAAAGTAGAGACGAAAGCAGATGGCAGAACATTGCTAGAGAGCAGGAAAGGAGGTGAAAGGAGACAATTTTAGAGAAGAAAATTTTTCCGTCGCTACCCGGATGCGAACCGGGACCTTTGAATGAGCCGTGAGCACCTTAACTTCTAGGCCACGAGAGCCCCCCTCCCCCCACTATTTGTTGTTAGCAGTTGTCTTTTGGTGATGTCAGTTGTTATTTGTTATCTCGACAAAGATAAATAGGCCTACTGTTGTAGAGTGGTAGTCAATAATAATGTGCCACACCAGACCCCAAGTCGGGGACCCGTGTGAAAAAACAGTAACAGCAACCCAACAACAACAAAAATAACAGCACCCAAACAACAACCAAACAACAACAAAAATAACAACAACAACAACCACAACCCAACAACAACAAAAATAACAACAACAACAGCAACAACAACCCAACAGCAACAAAAATAACAACAACAAAACAAACAAACAAAACAAACAAATAAAAAACATCCACAAAAAAACGAACAAAACAACTATATCAAGAAACAAGACCAAAAAAAAAGCAAAAGAAAAAACCCAGAACAAAAAACGAAACTAGAACAAAACCAAAGACCAATAACAACTAAGAGTAAAGCAGAAATTCCTCTTCAAATATCCGAGATAAAAAGAACCAAAAGCATTGAAAATGCCTATGGAAAAGTAGATATAAAATGTAATGGAAGGCGTTAGTAAATTACTAAGTGTACAGGTTTAACGCCCCCTATCTAGAAAGAATGGATTAAAAACATGATTGACAAAGAACGGTGTAGTGGGTAGATCTGCTTTAAAAGAAAACCAAACACTCAAGGTGTATCAGCAGCTTGAAAGACAATATAGGGTGCAGCGAGCGAGAGAGAGAGAGA